CTTCAGCCCCCATCCTTACCCCACATCGCTCAAGTCGCACATGAAGAACAACCCCCTCTACACAGACATGCGGCTGACTGAACTGGCTGAAGTGAAACGAGCACAACCATCATGGACCATTGAGGAATATACCAGAAATGCAGGCGAGAAGGGGAAACTTGTGGCTTTGGATCTACAAGTGAGTTGAATTTATTTCCAGTTTTGGTAATGTAAGATGTGTCTATTGAGAAACAAGTCTTCCAAATGGAGGCACATCTGCTTTAACCCATGTGGACATGGGGGACAGATGACTGTATGGTTGGATTTTAATGCAAAAGGTTCTAATTCTTTTTTTTTTTTTAAGTACTCACAGGTACACTTTTATTATTTTTCATATTATACACATACATACATACATACATACAACATATAAACAAACAACCACTTACATACATAAGACATACAAAGAGATCAGTATATTTTCTTATTACTCTATTACCATATTTAAAATTTTTCTTAAATCACTTTCTATAGGTTTGCTTAAGTTTCTGTATACTCTGATCTTTTTACCATAGTTTCTATTTAACTGCAAAAGATTAATAATACCAAAAATTTCATTACTTTAAACTATGCATTTATATTATACCAGTCATACAGTTTTTTCCACGTCTTTTGAAATGTTGGGTCTGTTGTCCCTCTCATCAACGATGACAGTTTATCATTTTCAGCCATCTCCAACAGTTTATTCACATATTCTTGCTTCTTTGGTGCTTCCATTTGTTTCTAATATTTTGCATATCATATTCTTGCTGCCGTAGATAGATGTACTATCAAACATCTATCATCTTTATCAAAATCCTTTGGAAATGTATTTAGTAGTAATATTTCCGGCAAAAATGGTATTTTAGATCTCAATATCTCTTGCATCATCTCGTGGATCCATCTTCAGTATCTCTTTGTTACATCACAAAGCCACCAGATATGATAAAATGTACCTATCTTATTTTTACATTTCCAACATTTATCTGAACAATTTTCATTCTGCTTAGCAAGTTTATCTGGTATAATATACCATCTATAAAACATCTTGTACATATTTTCTTTATATGATACTGCCTTAGTCATTTTAATATTTTTAGACCATATCTGGTCACACTCTCTCCAAGTAATATTATGACCTACATTTTGGGCCCACAGAATCATATTTTGCTTAACTGTTTGCTTAACAGATCCTCTAACAAGATTTTATAGATTTTCTTTATCAGTTTATCATCCAAAAATACAAGATTTTTTTCTAATTCAGTTAGTTTGTCATTAAAACCAGTCTTTTTATCTTTATTATAGATAGATTCTAATTGTGTTTTATTCCACCAAGACAAGTGTTCTGGCAATTTCAAGCAGTCTTTCTCATCCAAAATATTTGTAAAGGTAAATGCTTCCAATGGTACTATGAGTCTCGATTTTCTAATATAAAACCTTCTATAAATTGGGTCCCATACCTTTAATAAAGCCGCTCTTAGCCAGTGCTACTTAAAGTATTTCTGTGTTGTGGCTTTCTCATACCTTAAAAATGTGTTCCATCCTAAAGCTAAATCGTGGCCTTCGAGTTTCAGAAGCCTTCTGTCTTCCAAAGTAATCCATTCCATTAGCCATACTAATGCTGCAGTCTTATAATATAGTAGCCAATTTGGGACTCCAAATCCACCTTTCTCTTTAACTTCTTGCATAATTTAAAGTCTTATTCATGCTCGCTTCCCTTGCCAGATAAATTTGGATGTTAGTTGATCTAGCTCCTTAAAAATCTTTTGGTTTTGTAAAATGGGGATTGTTTGAAAAAGAAACATCCATCTGGGTAATATATTCATTTTTATTATTGCAATTCTTCCCATCATGGATAATTGTAAATTTTTCCAACCGTCTAAGTCTTGTTTAGTTTTTTCCCATAACACTTTGTAGTTGTCTTCAAAAAGAGAACTACACTTGTTAATAATTGTAATCCCAAGGTATTTTACCTTGTCAACAATTTGAAATCCAGTAGCTTGATATAGATTTTCTCTTTGTTTCACATCCATATTTTTGGTCAGAATCTTAGTTTTGTTAACATTTATTTTCAGTCCCGCTAGTTGTCCATATTCTTGAATCCTTTCTTTTAGTTTAACGGCTACTTCCTTCGGTTGTTCCATAATAAATGCAATATCATCAGCAAAAGCTAATAGTTTGTATTCTTCTCCTTTCAGTTTTAGTCCAATAATCTCTTTATCCCTTCTTATTACGTTGTTTAATACCTCTGAGGCTAGGATGAATATAAGAGGAGATAGAGGGCAACCTTGTCTAGTCCCCTTTTGGATCTTAAAAATGTTTGTCAGTTCGCCATTCACCATTACTCTTGCTCTTTGTTCTAATTCTAACAAAGTGACAGCCTGCATGGTGTGTCAGACTAGGACCTGGGAGACCCAAGTTCAGATGCCCACTCTGCCATGGAAGCTTGCTGGGTGACCTTGAGCACACACTCTCAGCTTCACTTACCTTACAGGGTTGTTGTGAGGTGAAAATGGAGGAAAGAAGACTAATGTAAGCTGTTTTGTGTCCCCCATTGATGTTGGATCCCAAGCATTCAAAACAACTCTACGTTGAAAAGCAAGTAAGGTTTTTTCCAAAGCGTTGGTCTAACCAGAACAGGACATTGTTAGGAATAACTACAGGTAACCAGGGAAGGCATAATAAAGACATTTGAACCAGGTAAGGACCAATGAGTCCAGTTCCCGCTGGCGGGAATAGACCATACAGTTCGCGCCCATTGCATGGGAACGCAACAGTTCTATAATGTCAACACAGGTTCGGTTCACATGCGAGATACCCAAAACATTCTAGGCGAAGCTCTCCCCCCACGACCAGCTGCACGACCTTGGCAAGTTCCGCGGACTACATAACATAACTCAAGCAAACAAGGAATGGGAGGGAGGGGGGTGAAGGAAACTACACAGGAACCGGAATGACAATGGCAGCTAGCTGACAATTGGGAAGAAAGGCTGAATATAAATGAAGCAAATAATGGACAGATTATAGCACAGGATCCATGCTTTTTGAAAAACAAAATTTATCTGGAGAACTAAAAGGCAAAGACTGAGTTAAGTCAGTTCTGTATAGAGTTCACAGAGGGGGGCTTTCCTTTAAAAAAACCCTGGTGTGCATGACCCAGTTCAAATTTAGATCTATTCAAGGAGGGCATACCCAGTGCTGTTTTTCCCAATCTGAAATGACCCCATGGAGCTTTTTACATTATTGGGACAGAACAAAACCTGTATGTTTGTCCAGTGGGGCAAACTAAACGGCCATGGAGTCATTTCCAGTGGAGAAAAAAATGCTAGGAGCTATAGATCTGAAGCACCCGGTGATCTGGCCAGTACTTCTGCCTGCAGTTTCCCCCCCAAAAATAGTTTTATTATTTATCAACACATAACACAAACATCAACAAAACATACAAGAAACAAACAAACGGACTTCCGGTCGATGGCGGCGCACTTGCGGACCTATTTCCCGGACCTCCCGGGATAGGTCTGTGCCCCAGCCGGGGGAAGGGGCCACGCAGGATCGTGGACCCCCCAGGGCTCGGGGGAGAGTCCAGGGGGCAGGGAACTTTAAAGAGGCGGCCTCTTCAAGGGCGGAATGCCCGAGAATCGAGGCACTTCTTTGTTCCAGTGGATCCTCCGGCTGTGGAGCCGTATGGCACAAGCAACGCTGGCCGGGGCAAGCTAAGAAGATCCAGCGTTTTAAACAAGCAAAGAACGAGGTCGGAAGACCCGCAATGAACGTGAGTCAGCCTAAGTGATTTCTTAACTAAAGAAGCTCCCCAAACCCCTAAAAGCTAAACGGAGGAGGCGAAGGGTGGGGGGGACGCCTCCCACGCGACGCCTATAAACGAACTGTGAAAAACGCGAAAGGGGGGGGAGCAGAAGAAAAAGGCAGCGAGACCTGTCTAGAAACACTTACCCGAGAGGCATCTAACGTTCAGGTGCTTATTCAGAGACTTTTGTGTAATCCAGAAAAGTAAACAACTGTATAAGATGGCGGGGAAGAAGGACAAGGACAGACTTTTTAAAACAAAGGGACCAGAGAGTCCTTGGATGGAAGTGGCTAGCAACAGCTAAAGCTGTAGCTGAATGCATGCGCCCTCTGCTGGAGCAGCTGAACACTTTTAAAGAACAGATGGTGAAGGTGACAGAAGGCATCACTGCAACTCAAACGCAGATGGGAGAAATGATTCAAGTCATGAAACAGGATGCTGAAAAAATAAAGGAGGTGACAGCAACCACGAAAAAAGTTAAAAAGAAGGTGGAAAAGCTGGAAGAAAAGACATCATCCTTGGAAGACCAGATGCTACAAGTACAAATGGATAAGGCCAACTTGGTTCTTCGCTTTCAGGGCATACCAGAAAAACAAGGAGAGAGCCTCAGAGAATTGATGTGTGAACTGCTAGCCCCAGTGGCAGAAATGAGTCCAGAGCTATTGCTAAACAAAATGGATGTGGTCTATAGATCATATTCTGGATATATAAAAAAGAATAATCTGCCAGGGGAAATTGTTGTAAGATTCTCTAAGAGGCATGTGAGGGATGCAATCTTGAAAGCGGTGTCTGGAACTCCCTTGAGAGTGGGAGAAAGTGTGGTCAGAACACTTAAAGACATTTCATTCCCTGTTTTTCTGTAGTAGTTTTTGTAGTTGTTAAAAAAAAAAATCCCCCTTTGGGGGCTTAAAAAAAAGAAAGAAACAAACAAACCATTGATCAGGAGCACATTCCATTGGTTGTGCTTAAACTTTTTTCTTTTTATACAGGAGTCATTTCTTTTTGCACCTATTCTATTACTTTATGCATGCACAAATAATAACTGCAGTTTGTAGTTCTATTTGTGTTTTCTAATGGCTCTAATATGAGTCACTTAAGATAGCTCTCAGTCCATTTATAAAGCCTTGACAATGTTTTCTCGAACATATCTTCTCTTTTGCCTTGTAATAGCAGTTTTGAAGAATGTCAGAGCAGACATTGGGGACCAAATGGGCCCAGTTGTGGCATTGGTATCCCACCGCTCCTTCAAGAATCTCAGAGTGGTGTAAGTCATCTAATGAGTTACTGTCTCACACATACTGTCTTTCATACAATGCATATAATGTTCCCCTGCCTTGTGCATCATATCAAAAAAT